CATACACACAGAAGAGAGAGAAAATATAATAATCATAAATATTTAAAAGATCATTTGGCAACATATCCACTTAGTAAGCAACAATGATGTGTTCCTCCCCGGAGCCCATGGCCTTCCCAGTCATGATCCTTTGACCAAGTTTATATACAGTACCAGGGGTGGGTTCTCTCCTGTGAGTGCAGGCCTCAAATTCAATAGGAGTGTGGTTGGTGACTCCCATAATAGGCCACTATTGCACAGCGGGCACACCTTGCCCAGGAAGATGGTATTGTAGCATAACATGGACGGTCCCCTGCTGGGTAAGATACTCGGATGGTTTCTCTGCCCCAGTCACCTGCGTAGCATCTTTCAGCACTGTGACAGCTAGCCAGTAGAGAGGGGCATCCCCTTCCATCCCAGCTTGTTTTCTCTGTCCTACAACCAAAGTGAAGTTCTTCAGCAGTAGGACCTTACATCTAGTTCTGGTGGGCAACCAAGAGCAATGATGATAGTGTATATTCTTTTGGAGTGTCTCTGATCGATGACTCATAGGGAAGAAAGAAGTATTGATGGAGGGAATGGATTTTTGATTTAATAATCTAGAAGCAAGCATTATCTACCTATGCAAGGGACCTGAGTTCAAAGTTTTTCTCCTTTAATTTTTTTAAAAATTAGCTTTTTAAATTTAAGATTTTTTTATCACGAGTGGTGGTAGCACATGCCTTTAATCCCAGCACTCAGGAGGTAGAGGGAAGTGGCAAGTTTGAGGCCAGCCTGGTCTACAAAGCAAGTTCTAAGACATCTAGAGCTGTTACACAGAAAAGCCTGTCTTGAAAACCAAACAAAAAACTCAGAAATTATTACATTTGTTTGTGTATATGTGTGTGAGTGTACAACGCCACAGTGCAGATGTGGTATCAGAGGACAAATTTTGAGTGTTGGTTTTTGCCTTCTACCATGTGGTCTGGGAATGGATCTGGAGTTGTCAGACTTGGTGGCAAATACCCAACTGCTGAACCACCTCTCTAGCTCTCCACGCAGCTCCTTTAAATGCCCCTGGCTGTAGTTAACTTTCTCCCTCCCCACCTCCTCCTCTCTACCCTCTGTACCCCTGGAATCCCGCCCCCCCATTACTCATATCACTTATGTTCTGCTACTGCTAGCATGGCTACCCAACCCCACTCTGCTGCCTTAAGTCCCTCCTGCCCCTAATCATGAGCCCTTTTAGCTTACTGGCCTCTACAGAAATTCCAAGTTAAACATTTGTCTAAAAGTTCAAAGCTAGGATGTATATAATAGAGAACATATGGGGGCCTGGGTTACCACACTCAGAATAATATTTTCCATTCCATACATTTTCCTCCAAATTTCATAATTTGTTTCTTTTACAACTGAATAAAATTCCATAGTGTATAGGTCCCACATTTTTATTATCCATTATCAGTTGATGAACATCAAGACTGATTCCATTTCCCAGTTATTGTGAATAGAGGAGTGAGGAGAATCCTTTGGGTATGTGCCCAAGAGTGGGATAGCTGGGTCATATGGAAACCTCCATATAGATCATCTTTAATCCCAACACTGAGAGGCACAGGCAGGCAGACCTCTATGAGTTCCAGGCCAGCCTGGTCTACACAGTGAGTTCCAAAACAGTCAGAACTATGTAGAGAAATTCTGTTTCAAAAAAATTTTTTTGCAATAAAAAATAAAGTTGTAGATATCCTCCCTCTAGCCTCTAATGGGGTCTTGGTGTGTACCCCATGTCAACCTTCAACTTGTATCTCCTGAATGTTGGGATTATAGTGTTGGAATTATAGGTGCATGCCATTATGTGATCTCTCTCTGTCTCTCTCTCTGTCTGTCTCTCTGTCTCTCTGTCTCTGTCTCTGTCTCTGTCTCTGTCTCTGTCTGTCTCTCTCTCTCTCTCTCTCTCTCTCTCTCTCTCTCTCTCTCTCTCTCTCTCTCTCTCTCTCCCCTTTCTGTGTGTTTGTACACTGGAAACCAGCAGAGGGCATTAGGTCCCAGGAGCAGAAGTTACAGGTGGTTGTAAGCCCCAACCTGTGTGGTGGGAACCAAACCCAGGTCCTCTGGAAGAGCAGTGCATGCTCTTAACCTTGAGCCAGCACTCCAACCCTGAACTATAGAACCTTGAACAGTACTGTCTCCTGACTGTGATGGTAAACTCCTTTTAAGCCTTTTCTCCTGGCAAAATAGACCATTCTTTTCTCACTGGGAGTGGCCAGCTGCATTCTCCATTCCTGCTGAGAACTAGCTGGAATCAAGGTTATCATTCCATCCTTCTGGAAGGAGTTGCATTTTGTTCTCTACGAAGCACCCCTAACTACAGCTGACAGTTAGACGTCCTCTTTGTGTGAGGTGAATGTTCCTACCCAGAAGTCGCCAGAACCACAGACACCAAATTACACATCGCAGGTCAAGGAGCTTGGGTGGGAATAGGATAGACCCATGGACCAGTGTTGGGCAGGCTCCTCTTCAGGCCTGACTAGAATGGTCAGAGAAAATTGCTGTTAACTGATGGAAAGGGTTTGGCAGAGGCCCTGGCTTCTGTCAGGGACCAGAGCTGATGCAAACCGTCTGCTGTGCGGGTGCGGCTGGCCAGCTTGTTTCTGTTGAGTCTTGTTTCACCCCCCACCCACCCTCAGTTCCACAGATACCGGTCTGTTTGCAAGCTCCATGCTGACTGTAGCCTGAAAGACTCTCATTGTTTTTTAATTCATGTTTAGATAACAGCTCATGCCTGTGGTGGCTAGGGCACCCCATAAAGGAAATGCCTGGGCTCCAGCAGCCAGCCCAGTCTTTCTTTCTCTGTGTGTATGAGTGTGGCTTGTACTCAGGGCATTATAAGATCGTTATTTCTTTGCAGGGTTTATTACTTGGGGACCTAAGGGATTCTGGGTGTCTCTGTAGTACTTGGAGTTCTGGGATGGTTTTATGTCTTTCCTCCCTTCCATCCATTCTGCCCAGGAGGATTGCAGGCTGTTTTATCCCAGCCTCTTTTCTACATGCAGCTGGAACACCACAGCATTCCTCCCCTTGGAGAGACTATGCTCTGGGAGGGTGAGGTAGGCATGACTGTGGCCGGAGTTGGCAGGTTGTTCTTATGACCATGGTGGGTTGGCAGCAGTCATGATGTCTTCAGGGCAGCTCTTCCCATAGGTTATCTCCATTGTCCTCTTTATCTTCATTATCACTCTCCTGCCCCTCCCCCTTCCTTTGGATGACTCAGGAGGCCGTAGAGTACTTACTGCTTTTGCGGAGGACCCAACTTAGACTCCCAGCACCCTTGGTAGCTCACAGCCATCTGTAACTGCAGGTCAGTGAGACTAGTGCCCTTTTAGGACTCCATGGTACCAGGTACACACATAGTCACATTCGCATTTGCAGGTAAAATACATGCAATACATAAATTAACGTAAATTTAAAATCTAAATCTGGGCTGCGTATGTAGTTCATTTGGTATTGTTTGCCTACCATGCATGAAGCCCTAGGTTCAGTCTTCACCACATACAAAGCTCCTGTGGTGGCACTCACCTGTAACACTGGCACTCAGGAGGTGGAGACCTGGGGATCAGTCAGGCAAGTCAGGATCTTGTCATCAAAAGAAGTTATTTAGAAACATGTTGGTTTTTTTTTTTAATTTTGTGTGCATTGGTGTTTTGCCTGCATGAATGTCTGTGTGAGGGTGTCAGATCCCCTAGAACTGGAGTTACAGACATTTGTGATCTGCCATGTTGGTGCTGAGAATTGAACCTGGTCCTCTGGAAGAGAAGGTAGTGCTCTTCAGCTCCCACCTCCATCCCCACCCCACCCCCGCCAAAAAAAACTTAAAATTTTTTTTTAGCTATGTGTATGTGAGTATACGTGACCCGTGTGCCATCGTGCATTCTGCAGAAGTAAGTTTTTCCTCTGTCACATGTGTCCTGGGAGCTGAGTTTGAGTATCAGGCATCTTACTGGTTCATCTTTTAACAAATTGAAAATAAAAATAAATACTTCTAATGCTTGTGTAAGCATTGAAAACTGCCAGGAAAAAACACTGATGATTCTTGTGTTTCTAATACAAAAGAGAAATAGATTGCTTAAAAATATATTATTAGTTAATCCCCAGCACTCTGGAGGGAGAGGCAGGCAGATCTCTGAGTTTGAGGACAGCCTGTTCTTCAGAGTGAGTTCCAGAATAGCCAGGGCTAAACAGGGAAACCCTGTCTTGAACCCCCAGACTCCCCCTCCAAAAAAGAAAATCCATTATTGGACAATGGGATAGACACTACTCCCTTCACCACGGTCTTTCAGGTATCTATTTTGGGCATGGTTAAACAAATAATTAATAGTTTTAATGTCTCCTTTTTTTCAAGATGTGTTGATACCTTTGGTATTAATTTTTTACATATTTGTGTATGTGTAGAAGTCAAAGGATAGCTTTCAGGTGTCTGTTCTTTTCCCACCATGTGGGTCCCAAGACTTGGCAGCAAGTGCCCTTAGTACCCACTAAGCCATCTTGCCCTTAGTAATCTTTTCTTGTAAAATTATTCACAATTTATCTTTGGAGGTTAAAAGGGATGGTGACATTTTAAATAACTTATTTTAATGTAACCAAGGAGCCTTTCCTTTCCTTTCTTTTTCATTTTTCTTTCAAGGAATCATTTTTGTTTTGATTTGATTTGATTTGGTTTTTTTGGTCTTGTTTTGTTGTTGAGACAGGGTTTCTCTGTGAAGCCCTGACTGTCCTGGAACTCCTTCTGTAGACCAGGCTCTTGAACTCGGAAATCTGTTTGCCTCTGCCTCTGAGTGCTGAAATTAAGGCATGTGCCACTACTGCCCAGCTTCAAGGATCCATTCTTAGCATACTTATTATATTCTAATAGGAGATGCTCTTGCACTTAAATGCCATTTATTACAGGACTGCCTGGACACATGTAAAGAAGCTAATTCAGTGTGTCTTACAGGCTTTTATCCTATCTGCCTCAGATTTATTTGATCCTTGTGCTTTTTGCCTTCCAGTTCTCTCCTGCGCTATGGTGGCAACTTATCTCTCCAAAGTGCCATGAGTGTGCGATTCAACAGCAATGGGACCCAACTCCTGGCCCTGCGGCGGCGCCTGCCCCCTGTCCTCTATGACATCCACTCCCGCCTGCCAGTGTTCCAGTTTGATAATCAGGGTTACTTCAACTCATGCACTATGAAGAGCTGCTGCTTTGCAGGGGATCGTGACCAGGTCAGTGCCTTCGCCATACATATGTATGTATGTCTGTGATGGTGTCAGATCCCCTGGAACTGGAGTTACAGACAGTTGTGAGCTGAAGACCAATCAGTGCTCCCAACTGTTGAGCCATGTCTCCAGCCCCTTATTCTTATATTTTTGCCTCTTAGTGACTGTCTTCATCCAGGATGCCAGGGGTACAGTCATTCAAGGCACATCCTGTAAAACCAAGGCTAGCTACATGGTTCTAAGCAACCACCTCTGCCACATTTGTGAGTGATTTTGAGATTCTAAGAATGTGCCATTTTAAAGAGAAGCTTGTGGCAAATTATACTGCCAGTGGAAGACATTTCAGTAACACAGAGATGAATGAAAATCCACACACCTTCCAGAGACATGTATCTTGGATAGCATGGCCTCAGCATCCTTGTTTGAGAAAAACATATTACGTAGGACTGTCCAGCCCTAGATGTGTGTTTCTAGTTTGTTTGTTGTTGTTGTTTTTTTGTTTTGTTTTGTTTTGTTTTTTTTTGGTTTTTACGAGACAGGGTTTCTCTGTATTGTTTTGGAGGCTATCGGTCCAGCCCGGCCTCGAACTCACAGAGATCCACCTGCCTCTACCTCCTGAGTGCTGGGATTAAAGGCGTGCGCCACCACCGCCCGGCTGTTGTTGTTTTTAATTACTGGGATTAGAAATACTATTGTTGATTTAATGGGGACAGTTTCGGGTCTGGAGAGAAGGCCTAGGGGTTAAGAGTATTTGCTGTTCTCCCAGAGGACCCAAGTTGGGGTTCAGGCAGCTTACAACCACCTATAACTTCAACTCCATGGAACTCTCTGTCTTCTCACCTCTGAGAGCACCCACACATAGATGCAAAATTGTGCTCATAAATAAGCTAAAAAAGGTGGCAGTTTAAAAGAGAAACCCTGTCTTGAAAACAAACAAACAAACAAACAAAAAAATTCATTGAGAATTTCAAAACAAAAAAACAGAATTCTTTGAGAATTTCAAAAGACCTGGTTTTCTTTTTTTTTTTTTTTTTTAAGACAGGGTTTCTCTGTACACCCTTGGCTGTCCTGGAACTCACTCTGTAGATCAGGCTGACCTTGAACTCACAGAGATCTGCCTGCCTCTGTCTCCTGAGTGCTGGGATAAAAGGTGTGCACCACTACCACCCGGCTAAGATAGTCACCTTTTATAGGTAGAGAATAGGATTTATTCTCAGTTTGGAATTATAGGGTCTACTTAATTGAGACCCATATTGAACAACACTAGATGGCCTCAATTAGTTAAGGGATGTCACCTCAGGAAGGCCACAGAACCTAAATGATTTTGTTTTTGTTTGCCTGTGCCGTATTATAGACTTCAAAAACAATTGTGTATATGTGTCTTCATGAGTATATGGGTAACATGTGCATTTTTGAGCCTATGGAGACTAGAAGAGGGTGTTGGGTTCTCTGGAACTAGAGTTAACAGGTGGTTATGAACTGCCATGTGGGTGCTGGGAACCAAACCCAAGTCCTCTGCAAGAGCAACAAATGCTGTCAACCATTGAGCCATATCTCCACTTTTTTTTTTTTTTGGTAGCTCAGACTGGCCTGGAACTCACCATGTAGCTGAAGCACCTTAAGCTTGTTGATCCTCTTTTCCTGAGTCACATGTGAGGTTACAGCTGTAAGTCACCAAGCACAGTTAATGCTGATGCTGTCTGTTCTGGGGGTTGAACCCAGGGCTTTGTGCATGCTAGGGAAGTACTCTGTCAACTGAGCCACACCCTCAGACACAATTTTTTTTTCTTGAGTGGAAAGAAAATCATGTTCTAGAGATGAATAGGATTCAACTTTGTTATGTAAAATGATTGATTTGATTTTGTGTCACTGTAGAAATGTCAACCAGGCCTCCTCATCCCTTTTTCCTTTGTTCACTGTTTTTGTTGATTTTTTTCTATCATCTTTTAACCTGTTATACATGGGATTATTTTCTCATGACTAATATGAATATACAATAAATGTAATAATTTCTTCTCTTACTGCCAAGAAAATAGGCTGAAGGAAAGATGGAATAGGTAAAGAAAGTAGATGTTATATTTTTTTCAGACTATATTAGTTAGCATCCAAAACCTATCCTCTGCCAACATATAGGACCCTGGTCTCAATCTTAGCACTGTGAGTATTTTGGCCTGATGAGTCTCTTGCTATAATGGGTTGTTCTGTGCATTGTGAGATGGGAAACAGCATCCCTGGCCTCTCCTCATTAGATGCCAATAATGTTATCCTCATTTGTCCTCCTGAAAGACCAAAAAAAAAAAAAAAAAAAAAGGCCAAACATTGCCAAATGTCCTTTCCTTTAAAGAGGAATATATTCCCTAATTGAGAAACTGATGTAACAGATTGTAAGTATCCAGCATGCCCAGAGGTACTTAGGTATTGCTAGAAGCAGAATCATGTAAAATGGGTTTTGCCTTGTAGATTAATATATAATGATAAAAAAAATTGAGTGCCTTTTGATTTTCTCTGTTCGAATTTGACTAAGTTATTTTTATGGCTTTTATCCTAGTGGGAGTTTATAGACATTATAGTTTCTTTGATAAATTACGTTGCTTTTTGGTTACAGTAAATGGTTTTTCTTGGATGAAGAGTATGTGAAAGTTATTGACTCTGGCCTTGAATTAGTCTTCAGTCTACTTGTATCCCCCTTATAGATTATCAGAGACATCTAACCCAGTGTGTTAGGAAATAGATTTATGTTTGACATTTTTGTTCACTCCTTAGGGACTAAGAACATAGCTAACCCATCATTGTCTTGTCTCCAAGACCTAGGATATAGTAAGAGCACAATAAACACTTGCTGAAGTCACCCTTGAATACTTTGATCAATGTGTGGTGTTTAGCTTTCTGGACAGAAAGCTTCTACAGCTGTAAATCAGGATTGATAATCATTTCTCCCATTCAACTTTTAGAGGCCTTGATTAGGGTGAATTAAGTAAAGGATTTATGGTGAAACTAGTCAACTAAGCTCATAGTTTAAGTGTACAGTTTTAAGTGCCAGACAGACTTGGAACTTGTCTCTGAAAAGTGATTCATAGGCTCTGACTTCCTCCAGTCAAGGCTTACTCAGCAGCAGCCAGTTCACTGGGATCACTACAACTGGGAGTTTTTTTTACCAGTCCAGACAGGATTTTCTTGCTGCTTTTAAGTTGCTTGGGATAGGGTCTCAATATATTTGCCCAGTCTGGCCTCAAACTTGCAATCATAATGTCTCAGCCTTCTAAGTGGGTAGGATTACAGGCATTTGCTACTACATCCATCTTTATATTAACGTCATTCCTAGGTCTATACTCTGAAAACTCCTGTACCCTGGGGCTCTGTGTTGTACACTCTTCATTTAGTCATAGACAAGATAATCATCCTAGAGAGGAATCTGAGAATTTCCATAATAGGAATGAATGAACATAGATGATCCCATCTATGTGAGCCAGCCTTCTAGCTTTTAATTACAAGGAAATTAGTCAGGCCCGTGAATGGATTCAGATATTGTGCCAGAGGGCCTGAACTGATTTATACATATATATATATATATGTATATATCATCCTACATTCAGTAGGTAGTCCATTTGCCTCAGAATAAAATTAATATTTTGAGAAATAAGACCAAGGAATAAAGTAGAAATACTGCTGATCCCACTTCATGTCTTATAAGTTCTAATCACAGAGCATTCAGAGGTCATTTTGAACCAACTCTCCCTTTTTGAGAAAGCTGAGGTTCAAAAAGGGAAGGTGCCCAAATTGTCACGTGTGTGCTTACAGCCAAGCAAGGACTAGAACTCAGGCTCTTAGAAGCAAGATAGACTACAAAACTGAGTGAATTTGGAGTATACAGTAAGTGGAAACTATAGGAAACTGGAAAGCCTGTATTGTGTTAAACTATAGGAAACTGGAAAGCCTGTATTGTGTTAAACTATAGGAAACTGGAAAGCCTGTATTCTGTTAAACTATAGGAAACTGGAAAGCCTGTATTCTGTTAAACTGGGGTGGCTTCCACTCAATTTCAGTCCATCACTATCATGACAGCCTCTTTGTCGCCAAGTACATGGTTTTTTCTTTAAACAAGGTAGATTTTCTAGTAAAATCTAGTAAAATCTTTTTTTTTAATTACTGTAACAAGTTGATACCTCATTGTTGTAATAGAGCAAATCTGTGTATTATCTGTATTTTGATATGGGCCGCCATGAGATCTCTGTGCCTTACTCCACAGGGTATTTTATCTCCTATTTGCTTTCATGGTCTGTCTTATTAATAGGTGAATGAAAACAATATTTCCTAGCTTTGTGCCTTTTAAAAGTAATGAAGCAGATGTTTGCTGAACATTTATTATGCTCCAGATGTTATGGTGGATCAGTTCACACGATCTTGCGTGGTTTGATTTTTTGTCAAAGCTCTCTGTATAGTTTTCTTTCCTTAATTTAGGCTGGCTACTAATGCATGGCTTATATCTTCTGTATTTGAAATATCCAAATTTAATATTATTCACTGCCAGATTGGGTGACAGTAACATTTGCTCAGTATCAGCAGAAACAAAACCCTAATAATAAATTTGAGGGTTTTTTTTCTTTTTGAGACACAGTCTCACTATGTTGTAGCAGGCTTTCTTTTGGCCACCAACCAGCTCCCAAATCAAGACACAGAAACTTTTATTAGTTATGAATGCTTGACCTTATCTTGTGCTTGTCCCAATAGCTCTTATAACTTAATCTAACCTGTTTCTCTTCACCTACATTTTGCCTCAGGGTTTTTTACCTGTTTTCATTCTGTATGATCTACTCCATGTCTGTCTGGTTGGTGGCTGGCCCCGGGTGTCTCCCTTTCTTTCTCCCTCCTTCTCTCTCCCTTTCTCCCGAGTCTAGATTCCTCCTTCTACTTATTCTCTCTGCCGCAGCCCTGCCTATCCCTTCACTGCCTAGCTATTGGCCATTCAGCTTCTTTATTAGACCAATCAGGTGCCTTTCGGCAGGCAA